AGAGTCTTCTTCTCTGGAGATTTTCAAAACCCGCCTGGATGCAGTCCTGAATAATGTGCTCTGGGCAATCCTGCTTTAGCAGGGGAGTTGGACTAGATGATCTCTAGAGGTCCCTTCCAACTCTGAAAATTCTGTGATTCTGTGATCTGACGCGGCAGCAGAGGCTGCTCCTGGCACGGCCCCAGCAACGCAGAGCTCTCCAGCATCACGGGTTCCCACCTCCTGTCGTGTCACATCCCGTCACCTGCACTTTGTTTATGAGCCACAGCCTCCAGCCTCGCCTGGACCGGCTCCAGTAGTGCCCCTCCTGCCTGCGGGGATCAAAACATCCGCTCAGCAAAGCAAAACAAACATCCCAGAGCATGAAAGGCATCTCCCAGCTTCTCTTTTCTTTCATAGTAACTACAAGTGCTTTGCACTCCCATACCTTCAGCCGGGCAGGCTGCTGCAGGCTGCCGACACCGACCCCTGAAGAGAGAAACTGGCTCAAGGATCTGAGCACTGCCGCGGTTCATCCTGGCACTAAGTGCTGCCAAGCAGTAAAGAAATTGGCCACAAAAAATTAATAAAAAGCTTTAATGTCTTACAGAAAACCAGTAATTGCACAGTATAAATAATTAACACAGACAAGTTCAAATAAATAACACATGGTTCAACACGCATCTCCATTCAAAAGCAAACTATGACCTCAGGGAAGGGGGTTTGTCTCATCTTGACCCGGTGCTCCACATCCCAAATCATTATTGAATCCATAGCACTCTGCAGCTTCGCTTGAGAAGTCATCGCTCAGGTATGAGCTTTGATCTTCAGAGTCTGGACCACAGCGGCCAGAGGCAGTTGGGTAAACACCGAGCGAGGAGCAGCAGGGACAGCTCATCGCCTCACAGCTCGGCCAGCCGGCAGAGGAGGAACCCCCTCTGGCTTGCAGCCCTTCTCAGCGAGGTGTGCTTCCCAGCTGGCTGCTTCTCATCTGCTGTGCGTTTAAAACATTTTGCTGAATAGAATTAACACTTTATCTTACACTTCGGAACAGCCCCATATTTACCTGTGAATCCTCACAGCCGGGGGTAGGTAAACATCGCTCCCCGCTTCACCTGTAGGTATGAAACAAACCCAAAAGCAGAAACAAAGTTCCCCGCTGAAGCTGCAAGACACAACATTGCCAGGGCTAGGACGAAACTGCATGGTATCTGGAGGTCCAGCCCCACATTTATTTCCTTCTACCTCATTTTTAATGACTAACGCTGCCCTACAGCTTACAGGCCACCTTGCAAGTCCTCAGTTAACACCTAAAAAAGATTTACGAATCGCAGCCGGATCGGAGGAGCCGTGGCTGGGAGCAGCACACCAGAGAGGGACAGATCCAGCACCGGAGGGGGTCAGGCACCTGTCGGCTCGAACCAGGGAGGGAGCGTGGAAATGGGGAATCTTGTCGGGCAGCGCTTGGCAGCCCCTGCGCCTGCCGTCCAGCTCAGCACCGGGAACCAGAGCCCATTTGCGTAACTGGCCCCGCGCGGAGCAGCTGCAGAGGCCGGAGAGGGCACAGTCCGCATTGCTCCCACCCGGGCGTTACTCAACGGGCTTCACTTTAGCAACAAACAAGGCGGTGGCTTTCTTCAGAAACTCCTCCCGGCTCATGGCGGTGCTGAGCTTCCTCTCCTGCAGCG